AGATGTAAACAACACAGGGTGGTGGCCTTCGTGGAAACACAGGTAGTTTGCTAAAGGGGCATGAGAGTCGTTGGCCTGGAGGAGCTCAAGGAAATGAGAGGCTGAGGTCTTGAAAGTGGGCCTGCAGGGACACCTGGGCGGCTCAGCGGTTGAACGTCTGCCTTCCGCTCGGGGGCATGATCCTGGAATCCCGAGTCCCACATCGGGAACCCTGCATGGAGCCTGCTTCTCCCTCTGCCTGTGTCTCTGCCTCTCTCTTTCATAAATAAATAAATAAATAAATAAATAAATAAATAAATAAATAAATAAATAAAAATCTTAAAAAAAAAAAAAAGTGAGCCTGCAGAAATCACAGAGAAGGATTGCAGAGAGAAGAGTATGAACCAGGTGCCAGCCTTCAAAGAATAGTGGAAGAGCAAGGAGTGATGGATGAGTGTGGCAAGAATGAAGGGATAACAGGGAGAAGGGAGGATCTGTGCCTGGGGGGCAGGCATGGTGACCAGGATGACATCCAGAGAGATAAGAAAGGGATCTGGAGGCAAAGGCTCTTAAGAAGGAGCAAGCCCGAGCTGTGCCTGCTGGGTCACAGAATGCCTCAGGGGAAGCTAGCCTTGGTGTGGAGATCCAGGAAGGCCCCCAGCACCAGGGGCTGTGACATCATCACAGTAAAGTCTCCCAGCTACCAGGTGATTTTCCTCAGTCACATCTTGAAAGAGACATGATCTTTGTTTATTCACTTTTTCCATCTGAGATGTTGGATGCAAGACTGGGAGTGAATCTGAAACAAGGACCATCCCTTAACTAACAGGACAGTCAGAGGTTAGAGAAACTTAGGACACTTCCACAAAGCCATAGCTTTCTCCTCTATAACTAGAAAAAAAAATTCCTCTGTATATTCTCAACTCAGATGGTTTGTTGCTAAAATCCCACCAACCAAACCAACCAACCAAACCCAACAGGATTTATAGTCAGATGCAGAATGCCTACGTTTAATTTTTTAAAACAAAGTCTACTTGACATCATCCCAAAAAGTAATTTCTTTTTCAAACTTCCTAAGATACACACATTTTTAAAGCTAGGGAAAGTTTTTAGATATATTCGTTGAGGAGCCACAGGTTCTCCTTTATGGAAGAGCATGCATAGCTCTTATATGGAAGAGGATGCTGACCTGTCAGTTCCTCATGCAGGACCCTGGAATATACCCTGAAGGGGGCCCTAAGGAGATAAGGTTTCATTTCACACGGAGAAGTGAGCAAATCTCACCTTGAATCAAGGATAGCAATGCCGTTTTTGAAAAGATTTTATTTATTTTTTTGAGAGGGACAGAGAGAGAGAGCATGAGCAGGGGGAGAGGTAAAGGGAGAGGGAGAAGCAGACTCCCCACTAAGCAGGGAGCCTGATGTGGGGCTCGATCCCAGGACTCTGGGATCATGAGCTGAGCTGAAGGAGCAGATGCTTAACTGACTGAGCCACCCAGGCGCACCCTAAAAATACTGTTTTAAAGAACTATCCAATACCTGAAATATGTGCTTTTTGCTTATTAAGATCTTCTTGCCTCCAAGATACTAGTTTCCAATGAGTCCAAACCTTGGCACTTTTACTCCGCCTGGTGAACTCGTGTTCAGTTATGGCTTCGTACATTTGGGGCTTTTCCTATACATCTGCCTTCACTGAGATGCTGTATTCTCCTAATTCTTCAGCTGAGGCAGTTCTGTTATTTCAACAGTCAACATGCTTCATTTGTTCCCTGTTTATATTTTATATACTCAGGGAATGTACATAACTAAGCAAAATATTGAAGAAAACAGAACTCTGACATTGCAAATACCCAATACTACTTAACTGTATACATCAATTGTCACCTGATTCCTATTAAAAGATCATTTCCCAAAAGGTGAAATCTTTTCCTACAAATACAAAATGAACATGTGACAAAGATTTTATTTAACTCAATTAATGAAGGGATGGTAAGATGTTAAAAGCGGGTCAAAGAAAAATCTCAAAAGTAGATATATTACTACACAGGCCGTCAGGAATATTAAACTGAATTTGCTAATAAATAGAAAACTAATACCCTATAGAGCTCTAAATGTAATGCTTGGGATAATCATTTCTATGGGGTGGAAATCAACAGTCTTTATTAGAGAAAATTAATGTGTATTTCTGCGAACAAGAATCATTTGCATTACTATCTTTCTGTATCCTTCAGAATTATAAAATAGCTGGACAAAGATAATCAAAGGTATAGACTCTTATAGATTCAGTTCCTCACAAAGGGTCTGCTAGACAGTACTTGACATTCTGTGACAGACACTCAGTCACCTTTTCCCACTTTATTTTTATTGATTTATTTTTAAAGATTTTTATTTAGTTTATTCATGAGAGACACACAGAGAGAGAGGCAGAGGCATAGACAGAGGGAGAAACAGGCTCCCCGTGGGGAGCTCGATGCAGGATTTGATCCCAGGACCCTGGGATCAGGACCTGAGCCAAAGGTAGACGCTCAACCACTGGGCCTCCCAGGTGCCCCATCTTTTCCCACTTTAAATGAAGTCTCTCACTATTTTTCTTGATGCTTCTGTTTTTTTTCAAAGATTTTATTTATTTGTTTGTTTATGTGAGAAAGTGTGTGCACAGGTGGGGCTACGGTGGGACAGAGGAAGAGGGAAAGAGCGAATCCCAAGCAGACTCCCCACTAAACATGGAGCCCAACATGGATCTCACAATCCTGAGATCATGACCGGAGCCAAACCAAGGGTTGAGCCTGACTGAGCCACCCAGGTACCCTGACAATTCTTTTTTTAATGGACGTAATACCCCTTAATTAGAAACAAAATTGAGGCACTATGAAGAAAATTCAAACTCTTGGTTTAATAAATCTTTGCTTTATTATAGATATATGTGTATATTAAATTACTATTAATTGCCTCAAATTAGATATTCAGAATCTCGAATATTTAGATTACTTTTATAGGCATTAGATTATGGATCTGTTACTGTAGCTTGTACTCTAATCAGACAACCTCAACAGGGGGTTCTTAGACAAATGCAGCCCTTACACCTGCACGAAGTGACTTGGTAGCTCAGGGGAAGCATGGGAAACAACCAGAATATATGCTCAGCCACTCTAGTAGCAACACTGTGTGGGAGGAGGGTGCTTGCCTTGGGTTCTCCCCTTCTGGATTAAATGCTGGCCCAGCCTGTCATCTTCCTGTTGTCCTCTCCACCCCACTGTTTTCCAGTCTCTGCTGGATCCCCATGTTTCTTGTCACCCTCTTCTTTACCCGCCTCCCTTTCTTGCTCCCATGCTCCCCTCCTGTCCCCTCTTTCCCTCCTCCCACCCATGTCGTCCCCTCTCCCTCTCTCTCCTCACCTCCAGCACCTTCCCATTTTCCATCGCCCTTACTAGCTTTGCTCCCCTGGCCGGCCTGTCTAACGTTTCATTTTTCGGACTAGAGGTCATTTCCTACCCACGAGATTGCCCTGTGAGAACAGGGAGGGACAGCACATGACAAACTGGTATGGTAATGGATATTGAACAAGAGCACTGCAATATCACCTGCGGAATTGATCCCTCTGCCCGAGTGTCAACTACAAAACCTCAACGACGATCGTTTCCCTCTGAGTTTTCCCTTTGCCTAAAGGGGGACAGCTGTCTCCTGCCAAGACTGAACTTAGGCAAATCCCATCTTCCTGGGCCGGAGCTCCAGGCTGAAAGACACACAGCCCATGACTTCACAGAGTTTACAGATCAGGGCCAGGGCTTCGGCCCTCTGAGAGAAGCCTGGTTTGCAGAGGGAGGAAAGCAAGGGGGCCTGGGAATTAGAAAAAAATGTTAGCTGGAGGATGTGAGATTTGAAGGATTGGGGGTCAAGGGAGGGCACTCTTCATAGAATGATTCCCAGCAGTGGGGCCGGAGGAAATGAGAAGGGGGCGAGGGTGGTGGTGGGCCTTGAGGTGAGGGGGGAGACATTGGCCAGTGCCCGGTGCTGAAGGGGCTGGAAGCCCTGCGCAGGTGTTTGGCCTTTGATCCTAGGCTACAGAGATTTTCAGCGTGTGAATCGTATCACGAGGACTGTATTTGAGAGAAATTGTTCTGATGGCAGAGGGGAGAACAGATTAGAGGTGAGCCAAAGATCTGCAAGAAGATGTGATATGTTTGTGGTCCATGCTTGCTCACACCCCAATCCAGCACATTCTGTTGCCCACCCCCCCCCGCACCCCTCCCCGCCTTGCACCAGCTTCTGGGTGCACCGCATTCGAGGGTTGACTGTCACTCCTCCGGACAAAATGTCAACAGCCCCAGCCTCCTGCTAACTCAGCTGGTTGAAACCACACACACCCATAGTTCCAAGCCCCTTCCTATAGCCAGTACCGGCTTCATGGGTGTGCAAGCTGTACAGTTGCGTGCAGCCTGTATCGAAAGGGTCTTCATACTTGGTTTAATGTTCTATGTCACCATCCTGAAATCCTTAATTTTTGGAGGAGTGGCTTTGCATTTTCAGTTTTTTGCACTGAGCCCCGCAAATTATGTAGGGGGTTCTGCTTCCGGCAACGAACGGAGGGTAGCCTTTGGATAATTCTTGAAACCCTCAGGCCAAACAGCTGAGGACTTCCGCAGTTGTCCCAAGATCAGGTGCAGAACATTGCCAGCATTTCCAGAGACAGGAAGGAGGGAGTCTTTCCCTTTTCCCTAGGATGGCCAGCAGACTCTTCCAGGCCTGCTCTGACCTGCCTCTCTTCAGGGGCTCTGTAACACATCTGGACCCTGGCCAGAGAATGCTTTGGCTCAGTGGGAGAGGATGAGGGCATTCTTGACTTGTGCGGAGTTAAACACTTGGAGAAATTTCAGGAAGAAAGCACTTGGTAAAAGGTAAAGCTAGCTGACCCACCAGCCCCTGCCCGCTGCTCAGCTCATTCATATTTTCATGGGCCTTAGCATGTTTATTCTCCTCTTTCCAGTGGCCAAAAGACAAGTTTAAATTTCTTATTTCCTCTAGGGAGCCTGGAGAGAGGCAACAGGCACCAAATACAGGAAATCATGTGGAGAGGATCTTTTATTTATTACGGGTTCCCATATTACTTCCCCTCCCCCAGCCTCCGCCTCCACCTCCAGCCACACTGTGTCTTCCAGCTTTTTCCTGCGGCAGAGAAGAAGGCAGTTCACCTCTGCTCCCTGAGGTCTGTTTGAGCCCTGAGGATCTGAAACTGGTCTGGTAAAAACGCCTCCCTCCTGTGGTCGTGTGATTGAATGGGAGGCCTTTGAATTTCACCTCACCTAGGAGGTTCAGGGGAAGATCTCCAGTACAGGGTCAGATTTTAGGACGCTGCAAATCCCAGAAGAGCAAGGTAGGTCCCTGTATTACTTTGTTCTGTCTTGGTGGGAATCAAGCTGCTCTGAAGTATATGTGTGTATATGGCTTCTCTGGCTGGCTGCGTCTTTTCAACATGTGTGTCTTGTTGAGATTTACTGATTTCTGGACTGTGAGAAAAACTTGTGACCAGAGAGATGACATTTGGGCTTTTTTGATTTTGAACCTCTTTGGAAAAAGAATGCCAACTGGTACATGGTACATAAAACATGGAGCTGATTCTTATTTTCCTTGGAGGGCATATCATATTAGAAGTTGCATTTTTTTTTTTTGACTTCTGCAAAAGAGGGAAAAGCTTACTGCCTGACTTTTCTTTTCAAAACATAGACACCTACCATGATTTTTTAAGAATTTCTTTCTGAGGTAGGGTTGTATTTTTTTTTTTTTTTGAGTTAAAAATGTACCAGAGATCACAGAGGATTTTGTCACAGAAATAGAAATAAATGATCCTAATGTTCCTAATTTAGAGTACCTATAAGTTATAAGTAAAAGTACCTATTCCTATTTAGAGTACCTATAAGTTATAAGTAAATTAGAGATTCTCTTTAGGTTCTGGTGGACCTTCATGTTATATTCCACATTTGAAAATATGAAACAATTGCTCTCTCTGCAGATTCCTGATATTAGATGCAAGTAGTGACAATGTCTATGAAGTGATGGCCAAGAGGCTGATTTTATTTATCCTGCTGTGATAATTGGCTGCCAGGATGGTGCTCACCCCTTCGCTGGTGACTTCTTTTGGTTGCTATTGAGAATCAAGGTGATGTGTCATCTGAGACTTGGAGAGGGGTCAAGTTTTATTTAAATAACACTACATATTTCTCTAGAATTTTTTTTTTTGCCTTTTGTGTTTTTATTATTTTGTTTTTGTCTTCACGACTAACCCTTCCTCTGGAGGAAATATTTTATGGTGACTTTACAGAATATCAGCCAATTTACATCCATGTATTGAACACTGGCTATTCTTTCCAAGCCTATTTAGTTCAGATGCTTGTGATTTCTTGCCACTTAAACATTCTACCTTAGCACAGTCTCTTTCTGTTCCATCCTCCATATCCTGCTACAGGTTCTTGGGAACATGCAGTTGCGATAATGTCACTCCCCTCAGTGAGATATTTCCTCTGCACCCCATTGCTTACATCCTTGCTACCTACAGGGTAGTCTGTTCTGGGTCAGTTGCATCACACATCGCTCGGGAGCTTGTTAGAGATGCAAATTCTCCATTCTCTTCCTAGACTCCGTGAATCTGTATTTTAACCAGGTCCATGGGTGATTCATATGCACATTGAAGTTTGAGAAGCCCCAACTTAAAGAAAGCAGACAAGACCTTCTAAATTTGCTCCTTTTCATCCCACCTCTTACCACCTATCTTTCCAGCTGTACAGAGCACTTTCTGTTTCCCCAAGACATGACAATTCTAATGCCTGCCTACATCTCTCTGTGCCATTTTCCCTGTCCAGGAGGCCACCACTCATCTTCTCTACCCAACCACCATTGCAGCCTGATTAGTAAACCCTCCTTCTCCTCATCTAGTCCACCTCAGACCAAATATCTATCAAGTCTCTGCTCTATGGCACTCGGTGAAATGCTTTTTTCATAGTCTTTAGCACATTATATCATGACTGCTTTACTTATTTTCATCTGTGGGAGTTATTAGGCTTTTACTTTGGAATCTATAACTCTTGGTGCAATGCTAGGTGCATAGCATATGCTCAATCAATGTTTATTGAATCCATGAAGAAATGAATGAATAAATGAATGGATATATTGACTGAAGAGCCCAAATTTATTACCAGATTGAGAGCTATAATTTGAAGTTTTCCAAGGAGATTGCCAATCTCCATAATATTTCCCATGCTGTCTTTTATGAGACTTCACTGGATTCATTTTTTCACCTAGTATTTTATTTATTTATTTATGATAGTCACAGAGAGAGAGAGAGAGAGGCAGAGAAATAGGCAGAGGGAGAAGCAGGCTCCATGCACCAGGAGCCCGACGTGGGATTTGATCCCGGGTCTCCAGGATTCCGCCTGGGCCAAAGGCAGGCGCCAAACCGCTGCACCACCCAGGGATCCCTTCACCAAGTATTTTGAATATCCACTATGTGCCATACCTTTCAGAATCTTTTTTTTTTTTTTTTTTTTTTTAGGGATAGAGAAAGAGAGCCCATAAGCTGGGGTGGAGGGGGCAGAGGGAGAGGGGGAGAGAGAGAATCTTATGTACTCAGCATGGAGCCCAATGTAGTGCTTGATCTCACAACCCTGAGATCATAACCTGAGCTAAAATCAAGAGTTGGATGTTTAACTGACTGAGCCACTAGGCACAGAATCTATTTCTTTATGTCTCTATGGATAGCCTCTTCCATTAGGTGTTTCTCCACCAGTGCCCCTCCTGTCTACCACTCTAAGTCAGAGACCTACTCATTTTTCAGCAACTATGTACCGAGTACCCACTACATACCAGGCACTGCGCCATGTCCTGGGGATATGATAGCAAATGACACAGATGTGAGCATTGCCTCCATTCCTTACAGAGGACACATTCTTTATCATCCTCTATCCTGCTTCTCCCTAAAAGGCGTTAAGGAAAACTGAAAGTCTAGGGATGCCTGGGTGGCTCAGCAGTTGAGGGTCTGCCTTTGGCTTAGGGCATGATCCTGGGGGTCCTGGGATCGAGTCCCACATCAGGTTCCCTGAATGGAGCCTCCTTCTTCCTCTGCCTGTGTCTCTGCCGCTCTCTGTGTCTCTCATGAGCAAATAAATAAAATCTCTTAAAAAAACATGAAAACTGAAAGTCTGATCTCTAATAAATATTGGCATATCCAGGTAAAGGCATTGGGCACTAGAAGGCAGTGTAATTTAGCAGAAAGCAAGCTGGGTCGTGCTTTAGGGCCCTGATTTAGTCCTGCCCCTGAAACTCACTTGCCATGTGAATTAGGGTGGGGCCACCTTCATTCTCTGAACTTTGATTTTTCTTTAATGGTGAGCAAGATACAGAGCTATATAAGGAAGGGACGCTCCTGCCTTCATGAGCACATAGAGAAGATGATGTCTCTGGATGATGTCCAGAGTGCTTTGCACTCACCTCCTCTCATGCTGGATGATTATTTGAAAGGCGATGCTCTGTACTCTGAGTCAAGCTGGCAAGAAGAGATCTTAAGGGAGTCATTGTATTACTCAGCCATACGCTCAGCCGGCAAGCATGGTGTAGCAGTGGTTCAAAGGGAGCGGTGACCTGCAGCTTGAGGAAACCCACTTGACATTAATTGTTGGGTATAAAACTGGTTGAAGCAGGGCAGCTAAGGAAAAAAACCTTGTCATCCTCAGGCAATCTCTGTTTTGGAAAGCAGCCAGAAGAAGGGAAGAATGTAGCTCTACCAAGTAGTACAAGGACACATCTAAAAGCTTCAAGACGTATAGCCCATCCCTGACCCTCACTGTGGCACAGCTACAAAGATTTCCTTCTTATTTTTCCACCCAAAGATTTGTGTCCTAACCAGATGTTGCCTAGAATCCAATGTTGGGCAGGGCATAGTATACTTTGTCCCCATGCTTGGCACTCCCATGGGGCGCTTGGACAGCTGGGGGGAAACAAATACCTTCTTTTTGTTCTCTAGAAACAACCACCAGCTCAGTCTGTAGCAAGTTGCTTGGGCAATCTCAAGGAATGACTCTTTCCATCTTCAAGCCCTCCTGCATCATCTGAAGCTTCCAAAGGAAATGCGTCCTGGACCTCCTGGAGTCCTTCTTGCTTCCTATTACTCATGCATCTTTTTGCCTCTGTACTTCCTACACACCTGCCTTGTCTACAGTCGCCTTTCAGCAGCCAAAGTGTTTTCTGCTGGTCAGTTCCTAACCTTTCAAGTTAACATTAATCCCTATTAGGAAGCTCAAGTTGTAGCAACAAAAGAAAGGTCAGCTTGCATACGAAATTTCTAATGACCTCCCATCGATCTCACAATGTACCTGGGATCAACCTTGGCTGTGCCTGGCAACATTTCTTTTTTAATCAGAGTCATGTGGTGGATTAGAAAGAGGCAGGCGTGGTTTTGAATCTCCCTTCTGCCATTTCCTTTCATAGGTAGCTATATCTTGCTAAGTCTTGGTTTCATTTCTAGAAATACAGATAATTTTTAATTTTTAGTACAAAAGGTTGTAGAGATTAATTAGCTTCAGTACCTAATGTGTTGCCTCAAGAAATACATCAGATTTTTTAAAAAGACTTTATTTATTTACTCATGAGAGACACACACACAGAGAGAGAGGCAGAGACACAGGCAGAGGGAGAAGCAGGCTCCATGCAGGGAGCCCGATGTGGGACTCGATCCCGGGACTCCAGGATCAAGCCCTGAGCTGAAGGCAGGTGCCAAACTGCCGAGCCACCCAGGGATCCCCAATACATTGGATCTTATTTATTTGTTTATGAGAGACACAGAGAGAGGCAGAGACATAGGCAGAGGTTCCCAGCAAGAAGTCTGATGTGGGACTCAATCCCAGGACCCTGGGATCACGACCTGAGCCAAGGGCAGAAGCTCAACCCCTGAGCCACCCAGGTGCCCCCTACATCAGTTCTTAAAATAGGAGGCTGGCCAAGATGGTGAAAATGAGAAAACTGGGGACACCTGGGTGGCTCAGCGGTTGAGCATCTGCCTTCAGCTCAGGGAATGATCCCGGGTCCTGGGATCGAGTTCCACATCGGGCTCCCTGCATGGAGCCTACTTCTCCCTCTGCCTGTGTCTCTGCCTCTGTCTCCGTGTCTCTCATGAATAAATAAAATCTTGAAAAAGAAAATGAGAAAATTGTCATTTGCAGATTAGTAGAAGGAACCAGAAGATATTCAAAGTAAAAGATTGGTCTTGTAACACGTGAAGGTTGCCTTCAAATATTTAAAGATCACTCTATGTGGGAAAAGAAGTCAACAGAAGATTGATGAGTAGAAATTATAGGGTAACAGGTTTTAGTTCAATGGTGGAAGGATTTACCCACCGTCAGGACTGCCTAAAACCGGGTGAGCTGCTTTGCGGCGTGGTGAACGCCCTGTCCCAGGCAGTGTGCCAGCACCCTGGAAGCCCATGGCTGGGGTGTTCCCGAAGGGATGCCCGCACTGGGTGGAGTCCGGGTGATGACCTCTAGGTCCTTCCCGCTCAAAGCTACCAGGAGTCTTGTGATGTCAGGTTCCCAACCCAAACCACCAAAGGAGTGTTGCAAAAAAAAAAAAAAAAAAAAAATCAACAGGCTGTAGAGTGATGGCAGCTGCATTCTGACTAGCGAGCCCGACCTATCTGCAGCGGTCATTTCTAAAAAGGGTCTTTGCCACAACAATAGAGCTACAATGGACTTCCAGGAAAAGCGAAAAAGAAATGAGAACAATGAGGTGGGAAAAGTTCACCCCAAACCACTCTTCTTGGGTTACTTTTTAACTAGATTGTGGGTTACTTCTGGTGCTGCAAACACATTCTTATTTGATGGAAAATTGCCATGTTTTGGTACATTTTCTTCCAAACTAGGTTGAGGCAAGTAACAGCAGGACTTGGAGCTTTGTCTCTAATCCCTGCTTTATCCATAAAACAGAAACGCTACTCTATGGATACGTATTCTTAGCTGTTCAGAAATCTACTCTCCTGTGAATTGCAGGGACCATGAGGGGGATAGAGGACTCTCATGGAGAGAGGACAGCTGCCTGGGGCTGTCTGCCCACTCTGAGTTGAGATCTTCAGCCATTGCTCCCACCCATCTCCTTTTCTGCGAAATAGGCCGTGTT